GCTCAAATCCTTTACGTAAAAACAGCATAGTATTTGCATAATAAAATGTACAGTTAAAATTTGTTAAAAGAATAGATTTTATGTTGTATTCTTATCACAGTGAAATTTTAAAAAGTCAGGTTTTACTATGGAAAAAATATTTATAATGTATAAAATATAAGCAAAGTTTTATTCAGTTTAATGGATGACTTTTTTCCATACAATTCTCAAAACATTATATTCGTAACAAGGTCTAGGCATCTATTTAAGAGCAGACAGGAGGAAAAAAATCCCATTTTCACAATGGAGTGAAAAACTACTAAGTGAGGCTATACGTATAGTTTCTTTTCTCTTCTGTCCCTGACACACATATCCTGACATCCCTAAAAATGTCGAGTGACTTGACTCATTTTAGCCAAGATATCACAGATTAGTAATAAAGTATGTTCAATTGTAGCTTGTTTGGGAGACGAAGTCAAGAAGAAACTGTCTATTGTTTCAGAAGCCAATATATGAACTTGGCTGTGTGCTGTAAGCCCAAGACTAGAATCTCAAGAGGGGCATGAGGTTTTACCACTGTTCTTCTTTTTAGGCAAGTTTCAACAAGATGAAGCGCTGCTTAACTCCCTGTGTCAAGGGGCTGCTTTCCTACCGTGACTAAAAGTACTCACACGCTTGCCAGTGAGCGGCCTGACATGGACTTGCTTCCAAGAGACCAGGTGTTAACAGTGTAACAGAACGCTATACCTTTGCTTATGGGATTACCTCAGAACTCTATACCTTTGCTTATTGGATTGAACCCAATTTATTACTTTGCAGTATAGTAGTGCAGAGAGGAATGTTTAAAGGAAATAAAGTGATGCCCGAATAGACACAGGGACCACATTTTCACTTTCTTTGGTGCCTACACAGAAGCAGCAGATGAAGCAACAGCAGCAGCTAGAATGGAGTAAATGCTTAGCACCCAAAAGTTTCCTCCAACTATATAGAAATTTTTGCAAAAAAAATTGTGGGGCAATATCAGTATAAAATATGTTCTATTTCTTTGTAGTTTGTTGATTCAGTGACTCATTTTAGGAAAGGAAATGGAGATATTCAGTGGGTTTTGTTCAGATGCTTATACATATTCATTATTATCATAATATGTTTACACTATATTAATTCTCTACCATCTGAAGGCCTGTCATATCAGTTCTTAAAATACCTTTTATAAATGAGGAGTGTAGGTGAGAAATATTTCTCCTCAGGTTACCATTACAGAGGTCAAATTGTTACAAGATAAAGAAATATGCTCAGCGTTCAAATGTGGCATCCTTATGGAATCCCTGGCCATGGTGTCTTCTTCATCCAATGGTCCCTGTTTAGTCTGAGCAATGTTCTCTTACAATTATCCTATTTCTAACTTGAAAGTATCTTCTATACATTTACAGACACCCCAAAAAGAAATATTTCCCAATTAGTATAGCTATTATGACAAAACATAACTAAAGAATAATGGTGGGGCTATCCTGACCTTTTGGCCGTGCAACTTTCCTTTCTTTAATATCCCATCCTAGAACCTGGACCTTTAGCAGTGGAGAATCCACTAGTTTCATTGCTGAGTGGGGAGATTTTTCCCCTAGGATCCTCTGATAAAGGATGGTGACCAGTTATTTTTCATCTCTGTTAGGGATTTGAACAATAATTTCTTAATGTATTAAAGGGTATACAAGGTACAAAGAGATTCATCAACAATAAAGGTTTTGAAATCTCATTTTGTGAACCTCTTTTAAAAGAAAATACTGGAAATTCCAGTTTGATCTAACTGTGGTCTTGGGGAGAGGTGTCAAATGGCATGAATAACAACTTGATCTGATTTTTATAGAAAAAAATATATTTTTAAATTTCATATGTTATATAAATGTCTTGATGTGACCTGCATTTCTAACAATCATGTGTCCCTTTAAAGGAGAACAATAGTAGAAATAAATGTTCCTACAATTGATATGTCACATATAGTAGTAGACTGAATAGTTTTGGGTTGTTAAATTTAATAGTGTACTATATAATCATCTGAGTCACTTGGAAAGTTTGTGAAATTCAAAGGTCTCAAAAATCCTAACTAATATAAGTAATATTCTCTTCTTCATTCTCTATAAAAGCTAACTTACTTCAGATCTGTGGTTTAATAAAATACTTTAAATTTTCTCCAATACTATATTGCATGATATTTGCAAAAACTTTATGACATTTACATGTACAAGACTAGAGTTCACAGGCAGTTTGTCATCAAGATGAACATAGCCTTTAGATAGCTGTATTATAAGAGTTTTGTGGTATGCATAATTCCAAAGATGGCCCACGGTTGCCAGGTTATTCAATCAAATACCTACTTAAGTGCTGCTGCTGTGAAGAAATTTGGCAGCTGTAATTAAAGTCTCAAGTAGGGTGACCTTAAGCTATGGACATTATCACCTTGACTTTATCTAATCACATGAGCCCTTTAAAAGGCAGAAGAAGAAGGCAGAAGAAGTGAGAAAGACTGAATCACAGAAGAATTTGATGTGCCTAGCTAGCTTTGAAGATGGAGAGGGGCATAAGCCAAGGAATGTGGAGGTTCTCTAGAAGCTGAGAACAATCTCCTTCAACAGCTAGCAAGGAAGTAGAAACTTCAGTCCTATAACTGCATGGAATTGAATTATGACATGATCTGAATGAGCCTGGATGCAAATTCTTCCCTCAGAGTGTCCAGGTATGAGCCGAGGTGAGGTGATATATTGATGTCAGTCATGTAGTACCCTAAACAGAGAACAAAGTCAAGCCTGCCTGAACTTCTGCCCTATAGAACTCTGAGATAACAAATGGGTGTTATTTTAAGCCACTAAGTTTATGGTAATTTGTTATGCAATGAAAGAAAACTCATACGGGTTCTGATACCCTACAATTATTGGTTAATTTATACCAAATTATAGTTCAAAGCAGCAATGTAGAAAACTTCTGTTAAATTTTAATTTTTTGGACTAAAACCTCCTACTTCTCTCAAAAGATCATTGTGTTGGCTAAAACTAACATCTAAAATTTCCAAAACTAACATTTTATTAATAGTTAACATCAGTATATTGGATAAATTTTCTCTTTCAAAAGATTCGAAAACTTGAAATCTTTTCACATGAAATATATTTTATATCCCAACCACTAAAAAATGTGTTTATATCTCTATCCATCAAAAAAAATTAGACTTTAACTTTTCTCTTGATCTTTTCTATAGGAAGCAGAGGGAAGAGTAGATTTTCTGACATTATTTTTATTTATAGTAATATTTGCATATACTTAGTTTCTACTGGAAATATTTACCATAAATATAATTTCTATACCACAATAGGTAATACAATCACATCTAATTAAAGAAAAGCATTTGTATAGTCACTTTGGCTGGACCTTATACAAATGTAGAAAATGACAAACCTGAAATTAATCACCAGATGTCTGACATTAAAACAGAAATTTATCAAAGCAGAAATGTATGAGTCATAACGATATCTAATTCCATGACTCTTGGGCAGATCCCCTTCTGTATTTTAATGGAACTAGCATTTATTTATGTTAAAACCCTCTTATATTTAGCTCAGCCACATAAAATCCCCAGGTGAAGAATATTCTCTGTGTGGAAGATTTCAAAAGATTTAGATGTAACCTATATCTTTTCGATCTGTTTAGATGTAACCTACATCCTATTTTTTGTCTTTCATCTCTGTAGATCATCTTGGAAAGACAGACACATTTTATCTTTTATACTTCATCATCCCTAGCTTGATTTAATAAATTAGAGCAGACAAGTAAACTAAGCTCTTATGGACCTCTACTCTGATTTATAATATCCATAGAAGCAATTTGTTTTTCCCTTTGTGTGTATCTTACAGGAATACATCAGAGCAGCAAGACTAGCAAATCCCAGAAAAAAACTTATTGAGATAAAAAGAAGCTGAGTCAGAAAGTTGGTGGCGAGATACTAGTTTATCATTTTCTTAAGTTTTAGAGAATGAGAACTAAGTAGGGGAAAATTGAGATGACTCTTGAACACTGTCTTAGCAGTCAATAAGGAAGACTGATGAATGTCATAACTGTACATTTAAAAAAGCATTTAAAATCAGTACTAAGGATAAACTGAGTAATATAGTATATTTCTTCTATACTGTATATTGAATGCAGAAACTGTAAAGATAATGAACAAGACACTTACAGGGCATCATCAGTGACAGGGTAGAAAATAAGGATAAGTGGATAAGAAGTGAGAAGAAATGCCAGTTTCACCTCTGGCCAACCTGAATTCTTTCAAAAAATTTAAGATCAAAGAACAATAAATTTCTTACAAGAGACAAGGACAAAGTACACAAAATAAATATTTCTTTAGAGTCAACTAAATTCTGATTCTCTTTGCTACCGAAGTCAGTCACTTCATGTAATGCCTGGTTTTGAGGATATTCATAGAGCCCAGAGTGAATGGGTTCTTTCTAAATGCTGTTTACGGCCTCACATAAAATGGATGTAATCTCCAATAATAAAAGGTGATAAGAGCATCTCTACCCACTCTTATTTTGAACACTGCAATCAATCTGCACACAAGCAAGTAGTCCTTTCCCTAGATTGTCCAGTGCAGAGAAACAACAGAAACCCTTGTTAAAAATGCGAATCCCCAGGCTTGGCTTCAGGTAGAATAAAGAGTATCCTGGGAACAGAGTTCCAGTAATCCACATTTGTACAAAGGTCTTGTTGACCTTTGGGCAGTTTCTGAAATACTGCTTGCTAAGGTCTCCCTTCCCCACAAAGAAAACAGCAGCAAACACCAATGCAAATGAAATAACTATATCCATAAAAGATAAATACCTAAAGTCTAATTATAATATTTAACCCAAATTGGTTTCTCAAGTCTATATTATTTTTTCTTCTCTTCCTAGGGATGGGTCTGTTCTAGTGAGCAACAATATTCCAAGGCTAGCCACTCTCATCTCTTAATGACTTAACTGCCCTGCTCATTCAGGTACCTTAGTCTCTTTTTGCCACAGTCTCAGCTTCTCAGTCATATCCCATGGAACCCTCTTCTAATCATCTCGTTCCTCCTTTTGAAAAAAAAAAATAGCGTCATATGCATCCAAAATAAAGGAAAAAAAACTGGTTAACTCCTTGATATTTTTCAATAATTCTTGATCATTGGCTTCTAATTTCTAGAGTTATTGAAATTTTGAGTTTATAGGAGATAGAGGTCAGATTGTACTACATCATTAAAAATATTTTTTGCTATCAATTTTATTACTATATCTGAATCATTCCTACCATTTAATTAATATAATATTAACTAGTATTTTTTGTTGTTTATGCTATGTATAACATTTTACAATTTGGCATTCTTTGTTTAAAAAGGTTAATTTTTAAATATTCTTTGAGAATTTTTTTTTATATATATGTAAACCAGACACTACTTTATTTTTTATATATGTAAACCAGACACTACTTTAGTTACTAAGAATAATAGTGACCTTATAGGAGCCAAATTTATCTTATAGCACTAAAACTATGAGATTCCAAAAGAAACATCAGTTTACTTATAATCTGTATATCTCTTTCTGGTATTTAACTTCCAAGTATACAAAGGTGCTAACCAGAATAGAATTGACCTAGAAGCTCATTATTTTAAAATCTTGATGAATAAAGTCATATATATATATATCTTTTGCAAAAGATATATATATATATCTTTTGCAAAAACATATTCCTTGTGGTTATATAATTAATTATTGAGTTATTGGTAAAGCTTCTAATAATTGCATATGATCTACTGCCTAAATCTCAATAATAATATTTATCTAATTAAAGGCCAAAGGTGAATAGGACCATTTGAGTGAATATGGTGATAAATGATTTAATAGAACTACTGTTCCTACTCTAGGAAACTTGGATGTCTTCCCACATTGTCTTAGCATGTAATAAACGTTGATTGAATAATTCTCAGAATGTCTAAAAATAAAGTTTAAAAATATGGCTGGGGGATTTATAGTCTCATGAGAAATCACGCAAATCAATGAGTTATAAATTGTTAAAATATAGGTCTGTGCACCATGGTGGCATCAAAGCAAAGAAAATGCTTAATTCCATGTGTTAGGGCATTATCTCTGTATTTCTAGCTGATACTTAGCACAGTGCTTGATGTGTTCTCAATAAATGTTTCTTGAAATAAAAAAAAAATAAATTGCTGAATAAATGATTTGATATCAAAAGAGTGAACTGGGACTATCTAGTCTCCGTGGATAAGGGGTTGATAGAAAGTTCTCTCTTAAAGGTTGTATACAAAACAGCTATGGAACATACAAATAGAGATATGTGGATACATGAGTCTGGGGACAACAGTGTTCTCTAAACTGAGCAGGCCCAGAAGGCCAGAATTTCAAAAGGTATGACAAACTTTGAATGTAAGATTGAATAAGACCAGACTGAGATTCTAATGACCCTTATTCTTTGCCTCTGAGTACCTGATCCTGGAACAAGGGATTTCTAATATAGAATTATAGGAAATAATATTTTCCAGCCTACTCTATAAACTTATTTCAATGTTTGATTTCCAGAAGAAAATGAAAGTCAAGTCTTTCTTAACCTTCCTCTGAAACAAAGCAGAAAATTTATGTTAATGTATTTCTAAGTTCTCCTCCAAGAGCTTCCTGACTTTATAAGAAATGCTTAAGCAACCTTTTAGAGTAATAAAAATCTTACTTTATCCTAACATATGCATAATTAACATATTATTCTGCATGTGGATAATAGTGGGATAAGGAGTTGTAGATTATACAAACATTTTTACTTGGAAAGATTTTATAAATCTTACTTAAGTGAATATAATGAGACTTCTTAGGTATAATACAAAATTGTGTTTGCTCATATCATGATCAAGCCTTATGCATAGTAGCCAAAAGCAATAAAATGGATATAAGAAACAGGAAAGATCTTATTTATGAAATGAAGACTATTTAGATACCAAAAATAACTTCAAAGGTATATATGATAACCTGAGCTGACAGGCTGGAAATCAAGCCCATGTGACTTAGGTGTCAGTAGTTTGGGGTGAATGTAGATATTGTTACTTTTAGTGCATTTGTATCAGATGTCTTAATGTTTACTCTGCTCTGAGGAAAAAAACCTTGGTCAACCACCTTCATCCAAATGAGGAATTAAGTTATTATGTGGTCCATGCACCTGTTTATTACCTATAAAATGGCTTCTCCCATTAGGTTGCCAAAATTTGATGAGAAACACTGTCCATCCCAAGTAGACCATGTTCATTTGAATAGATATTAGAAAAATAAAATATAAAAATTGTGAATTCCATCATGCCAGAAGGTAGATAAAAATTCTTATTCAGCCACTTTCAAGAAATGGGTTAATTTTTGAAGAAGTAAAAATTCTCGGATTTAGCAGGAAGATTTGAAACACTAATCTAAGCCATCTGAGTCCATTCTTGACAGTTTAAAGTAATTAAATTCAAATTCTGCCTTTTATACTTGTACCATATTGATTCAAAATTACTTGGAGTTTTTCATAGCATGATAAAGCAGGAAGAATGTAGTTCGCCAAATCTTTACTTGGTCATAAGTAGCATTTATCATGACAAATCCTGTCAATCAAGTGGTTCCTGCTCACCCATACAGTATAATAATCTAAACTAGATTTTGATCACGTTATTCTTTTCTTCCCTTGACAGTCAAACAAATCCTAGAGCGTGGGTAGACTGACAAACTGGAAACTGTGACTGGATAAACTGGTGGTCTTCGCTAGGTCAGTCCTGTACCAAACCAGAGAAGGGTATGAAGGCAATTTTGACTGTAAGTGCCAACAGTTATGAAAAATCTGCAAATTAGTTGCCAAGGCAAAAGCAGCAGTAAAAAGCTGCCGTGGGACTGAAAAAGGAGTTGACATTTGTCACTGTCTGTATGTAATAACTTCCTCAGTACAAGGCATACTCTAATCTAGGAACTACTTGTATACATAGTTTTTAAAAATGTTTCCATTAAAAACATGATACATGTGGGGATAGATAATCATGCCGTGCAGATGGCAGCCACTGACTGGACTGTATTTGGCTCTGTGTAGCTATACTTGCTGATGCCATTCTCATGCTTATTTAGTCTGGCTCTGTTTCTGAGTCAATTCTGGTTGGCTGGCTTCAGGTCTTCTCCTTCTCTTTGGCCATGCCAATCATGCTGATTGTCAATCTGGGGACTCTGTGCTCCTGAAATGATTCTCTTGGTCCAGACTCCTATCATTTCTCTGTTCTCAAAATTTTGCTCTTCCCTCTGGGCTCCAGTTCCTAATTCTGTGATTTCGTTTCAGTCTCCTTATGGAATTTGTTTTTGGTAAACTGGTAAACATTCCAATCCCTTCTGGGAGCTGGTGCATCTACCTTAGTTTCATTTCTAAGTTTGATTTCTGCTAACCTCCAATGTGTCCGAGGCCTTGCTTTTGTCAGTCTCTATCTCCAGCATGTTACCCCAGGACAGACTACCTTGTTGTGGATGCCTAGTGGACCATACTACTGAGTACTAGGCTTGTAGTGTCTTTTAGGACACCACATCACAACCATGGGCTTGGACTGGGTTTTGACTTTCCCCCTAACTGTAGTCATAACTGACTCTGGGCAATAATTGTATCCATAATTTCCTTTGGAATTATTCATCTATCCACTCACCTACCTGTCTATCCAACTATGTATGCATGCATACACCCATCTTTTCATTCATGTATTCATTTTAAATTATTTAGGGCTTACTCTATGCTAGATCCTATGCTTAGTGCTAGAAATATAATAGTTCCTAAAACAGACATTACCTCTACTCTAGCAGGGAAGGCAGATAGTTAAATAAACAATTACAATAACGTGTGATAAGTGGCTCTCCACATATCTGCCTGAATAGATGGGTTCAGTGCCAAATTCCCATATATTCTTTATTGCCCTGTTTCTCTGTGATTACACAGCCTTATCCTGCTGAGGTCATAGGCTAATATTTTCAGTTCTCTTATTGAGAACTTTAGGGAAAAATATCATTTTAAGTCAGGAGAGTAAGCATTAATATTATGTGCATAATTATACAATAACTTCTTAGATTTGCATGGAGTTTTACAATATGCAAATTTTTTATTTATAGGTCTTATTCTATCTTCAGAGCATATTTGTGAGGTATAGACAGAGTAGATATTATTTTCATCCTCATTTTATTGAAAATAAACTAACATAAAAATTAAAATTTCTTTAGCAAAGTTTAGAGCTGAAGCTAAAAGCAAGCCTTATTATTGCTAATATGAAATTCTACCCACTTTATTAATAATGCAATGGAAACTTTTACAGGTTCTAAAATCTTAGTAATGTCATTTCCAGCTATTATTATCTAAATTTTAAAACAGGTTAATGCTCACAGGATAGCTTTGTATGTCACCAGTTCTGGAAAAGTGACAAAAGATAATGCACAGAACTCTAAAGTGTTGATTTATCTTTCATTAAATATTTATTACTTTAATTTATGAACCTAAGTGGGAGGCAGAAAGATGAAATCACTTGCCTCTTGTCTTTGAGAGATGTGAGATCATTACTAAACCCTCACAAAAACAGCAGGTGGCTCTTGAAACATTTTCCAAAGAACACTTGGAGACTTTGATTCATGACTGAAGCTGTGCTGTGGCGTTTTACTCTTTACCATCCTTTATGGAGAAGATTCATTCTTTTTATTATCTGTTGTCATATTTAATTAGTGTCATCAGAATGTGTTGTTATATGTTGTTTGTTTCTTTTCATTTTTCCCCTTTCATATACCGATATGAATTTCATTTCTCTAAACAGCCTGTGTCCTTGAAACTGTAGTTAAGAGTTTACTTTCAGGGTTCGCTTCTTTCAAGCCACCAGAGTCAGTAAGTTTTTAAGATGACTGTGTAAAAGTCAAAGGTGTCCCACACCTCCACATCTTGGAAAATCCATCTTTCTTTTTACATTATTTCTGGAATGATGGGAAAAGCCTGTCATTTAGCATCACATAAGTAAGCAATAGTTAAAATATGGAATTTTTCATTATTATGGGTAATC